CTCGCACGGGGCTGGGCTCACACGGGGCCGGCTCGGGCTCGCACGGAGCCGGCGATGCCGGCTGGGCTCGCACGGGGCGGGGCACGTTATGGCCCAGGCCCGCACAAGGCCGGGCCCGCACGGAGCTGGGCTGGCACGGGGCCGGGCCCGCAAGGAGCCGCGCTCGCGAGACCAGGCTCGGGCTCGGGTTCGCGAGGCTGATTTGTCCGAAGCATGCAAGACGGGGCCGAATCGGGCTCGCGGCGGAAACGGCAGCGGCGAGCCCTCTCGGGTTCGTGGCTTGGCTTGCTACTCTGGCGGGCTGTGCCAGGTATGGCCTCGGGTTACTGTACACGCGTAAAGGCTTTCACATCTTAAAAAAATCAAATGCAACAACAACAAAAAACAGCGCTCACTCTTATTCTCGTTCGCGTTCGGCGTTGCAACTCTTTGAGCCTCTCAAGCTGCTTGAGTGTTTTCTTCTCTCTTTCTCGTTTTCAAAATAGTCAAGGAAGCTAAAAGAATCTTGTTGCAGTAAGGAGGAACTTCCTAGCCCACTACATTTGCCACGTGGGTTCCAGAGGAGCAACTTCCCTAGTTATAGTATACAGCTACTACTAAAGGATCTCCTATGTAAGTGTATAGTCGCTGTTTTAAAAATGTTCTGATGGTAACCTGAATTGGGTCACAAGGATTCTCTTCTTGTCTTCCTAATGAGCAAAATCAGGCTACCAAATACCGGAACGCCTCAATTTTCATCATGCTATCTTCATGCATGGTATAAGTAATTAAATCTTCAAGGACTTCGAATTTGGTTTTGGATCATTAGGAGTTCGATTTTTCTCTTCTTCACCTAATCCAAAACCGAATTCGACACTTCTATAACCTATAGAAGGCTTAGCACTATTGCTAGTCGCTCTCTCATCTAGCGTCTAATGTCCTTCTCTTCCTGCAAATACTTACGGAATGATACTTACTCCTTGTAGTTGTAATTCGTCGTTATTTGATCCTGCTCTAAAAAAACACAAGCATTGGCAAGAGGGCTTTCTGAGAATGCAAAACTGGAATACGTTTGAGTTGTACAATCAGCAATTGCGTTTCTTGGAGGAATTCGTTTTCGACGAAGACATGAAGCGGATGTGGGACAACGATGAAGAGATTTTCTTCGGAAAGAAGCATGCTATTCAAGTACTGCCAACAGACGAAAGTGGCGGGAAGTGTAAAGGATACTACTTCTATCGACCTAAAAAAGCGGACGGCAGCTACGATCCAAAATATTCGGAATTCGATACGGAATGTCAGAAGTATTCCCCAGATAGCACATTTTGTTTTTTTCGTGGTCTATCACCTAGACCTAAACCTAATTACTTGTATTTCTATTAGTCAATCACAATTAGGTTTCGGTCTAGGTGATAGACAGACTTTCGAAAGGAAACGGAGACGCTTAGTCGTGACCATGACTCCTTGTTCAACTACTTGATTTGTACTAGTACTAGAAGCATGATCAACTTTCACAATATCATGACAGGCTTTCAAATCAAAGACGTATGGACTTACGTCACGGCTTTCCTGCCTTTCAGCGACGGCTATTGAACCGACCGCGACCTGGAGGTCCAGTGTTAAGGCTGTAGAGAATTCATCTTTCGACGTATCCCTGAAAAATATGGGTGAGTATTTCCCTCCTGATACACTTCAAGGATGAAGCTGAAAGATGAATTTTGGGTAGGTCTAACAGTGATGACGCCAGCCGCCAGAGTGCGCCTCAGATGGGACAACCAACATCGTGAGCAAATGCGTATGATTATGGCCTACTAGAATTGTTCTGGTAAGTAAGTATGTCTAGCTGCGTCTGATGGTGACGATGATAGAGAGAAGTAGAATTCAGGTAAGTATCTATAAAACTAGTTGCGTAAAGATTCTTCTATATATTTAACACTTTTAATGCGTGAGCAATAAAAGATTCTAAGAAAGATCAGCATCAAACGCAAGACCCTTCTCCGGGAACGCAGCGTCCGGCAGGTGTGCTCCACTCCCAAGTTGAGCCGGGAACAGCACTACGAGGAGAACACGAAGGTGGATACGGAGACTTCGACGACCAACTACCGCAGCCTGGCCTACAACAGCATGGGAATATTAATCTTCACTATAACTACAACAATATTCTTCATACTCCTGGTCGTGAAGGAAATACCGGAAGAGGACGCGGAGGAGCGGCGGTTGGAAATGAAAACTTTGGTCCAGCAGCGAATCCAAATGGTGCACCTCCACCTCCTGGATCTTCTTCTCGAAGAGGTAGTAGTTCTCGTCGTGGTGTGGGCAACAACGTGAACAACAACATGGATATGCAACGAGAACGTTCACCTCGAAGAGGAACTGCACCTGAGGAAGAAGTAGACGAGGATGACTTCGAGTTTCTGGATGACGTTGACCCGGAAGAGATCTGGATGCTTGCTTCGAAATTTAAGGACGACGATTCGCACTACCTTTTAGTCTTTCACCTTTTTTTTTTCAAGTTGAAGATTTTTTCCTCTGACGGGCACGGGTTGAAGATTTTGATTTCTTCTTGCTCCTAGATAGTAAGACGGACATGTCCTTTTATTTCCCTTGTGGATTACATTATTCTGTATAATGTGGTATTATTCTTCTTCTTCGTATTTTTAACTGAAGGCGGTGTATCTTATCAAATATCTTACCCTATCGTCTCCCTCTTCCCCTTCTAAGCACTATGGCGGTGCCGAGAAAATTCCACCTGCGGCATTAGAACAGCTTCGGCAGGAAATGGAGATGAAGAAGGCTGGCCAGCAACAGCATAGTGCAACTGCGTCGCACATTCCAGCCTCATTTCAGGTTGCAGATGGAGTCAATTTCGATGATGCTGAAGGAAAAGACATGCGAGCTCGAATGGAGGAACTGAATAAGAAGAAGAAGCGATAATCCGAATAAAGTGAACACTGTCCAAAATCAAATGAATGTGACTGTGAAGACTCCTGTCCAAAATCAAATAGATGTGACTATGGAGCAGTACTGACGAAATACGCGTATATGCATACATTGATCTGAAATTGATATTTTAGAATGAAGCTAGTCTACTTAAAAGTACTGGAAATAGATGAATTATACCGAGAGTAAGTAGTTCTCGGAGAAGTGTAAGTAGTCAGTGTCAGATGGAAAGTCAGTCTCTCGAAACTAACTGAAAGACAAGTAGAAGCTAGAAGTACCTCCATGCATTTAAGATTGTGCCACCTTGTATGCTGAGCTGTATGATTTCTCACACTTTGTTTGCTGAGCTGTATAATTACATCTAGAAGCTGTACATACATAGTCAACGTGTCGGCAGATTATTTAGGTAGTAACTTGTTACCAGCAGAAAACACTGAAACGACTTTCTGTGACGCTGTAGTTACAGGAAATCTACAGATAATTTATGAAGTTATCTTATGATATGGATATCTAAGCAAGTGGAAATGTTTGATTCTGCGTCATAAAAGGGACACTACTGATGATTCCTTCCTGCACTGGTGAACCTGAACTATTGTTCCTAGAAAAATTGTTGCTGAATCTTGTTGAACTTCTTTTTCCATCATGATCCCTTGCAGAAAGTATACATTGAAAGCAGCTAAGGACTCTTCTTGCCTGCAGTTAATCAATCTAAGACAAATGACTTGATGGAGCACCAAGATAAATGCCAAGACGCAGAAAATCCCTCTGCTCGCAGGCCCTCTCCCAGGCGTGTGGAATCAGAATCACTTGCCAGTACTCTCAACCGCGAAGTCAGTGTGAGACGTCATCCGAGAGAGATTGGAAACGGAGAGACAGAGAAGAAGAGAGCAGGTAGAGAGAAACAGAGCAGCTAGAGAGGAAGGGTGCAGGTAGAGAGTGAGAGAGGGTGCTTCTCGATTGATCAATGAGGTCATCTCAGCTGAGGCGCGGCAACCCTTTATCTTCCTGTGACATTTGACTACACCCCTTTTCGTGCGTTCTGTTCTGTTAATCATTTACTACAGCCTCGTGGAACCGTTCTGGCACCACTTATCTCACATGTAACACGTCATTTATCACGGACGAGTGCACCAATTGTACGAGTACGGAACAAGTAGAAGACTCTCATCTACGTACTACCAGTTTATTCTACTGACAGCATGTGCATCAAAATAAATCTAAATCAATTGTAATTTTCTATTTCTTTTTCCTTCATAACCTGCCTTGTAATGTATCGCGAAGCGAGTATCAATAAGTTTCTTCAGCTTTTCACTTTCTTCAACGTTTTGCAAATCAAGTTCAAGATGAGTATGTACATGTGACCACACAACTCTCTGCTCTTACTCTGCTCGGACCTCGGGGGTGATCCTGCTCCGAGCGTCAGATGCCTTCTTAGAGTACAAGGATCAACACTGGAGACGCAGACGAAGTATGATGCTTTGGCCCTCAACAGCGTAGACAGAGGTGTTGTCATAGCGGCTCTTTAGAACCCGTTAGGTGGTTGACTACCGCCCAGAGGCTTAATGTTGGCCGCGGGGTAATTGAGTGGAAATATCGCGGGAAATTGTAGACCCAGGCACCAGGCCCGGGTGACGCACATGAATGAGGGAGTGTCGTCAATAAATGAAATATGAAACAACAGGATATTGCTGCTGCTCGATTCACTTGGAGGAGGACCTAGGAATACTTCTACTTGGACGAGAACAACATGCTGGCACGACACGACCCGAGTACAACTGCTTTTATATTAAGACTCAACTTTCATTGGTCACTGGGGTTGGTCACTGAGATCGAAGAGGCGACCCCTTTAGAGAAGAGGGGAAAAGGAAGGGGAAACAAAGGGAGAGGCATGGCGCCCTTTTCTTTCAGAATCAGTGACCACTGACTGCTGCCCTTTAATTAAAGGAGTAGCAGAACTTCTACAACTACGAGAAGAGGATCATGCTAATATTATTTCTTCTACTCCTCGACCTCGTCCCGACGGCGAGGAGGTCTTCATGGGCCTTGATCCTGTTCTTGCGCGTCATCTCCTTGGTAGCAACCGCTCTTCCAGGAGAAGATCTTCATTAAGGGTAGGTTAAAGGTGCTTTTGTTAGCGTTTGTTACGGCTCTCTTCCTTAGGCGGGGACCGCCATAACAAGCGGGAGAACCCACGAACACCAAAAGCCTACCTCTAACTTCAGCGTTGGCGCCTACTACGCAAGCACGACGACCCAGACGAGCGACTAGAGAAACAAGCAGGAAAATCTAGCCACGAAGTCTACAGGATGTCAGAGCCACATGAAGATAAAAAGAGTCCTACTTCACATATTGTACTTGATAATCGTCCTCAGCATGCTCCTCTTCCTGTAGTTGGCGGGCCTGAAATCAGAGATCATGACGATATTTACGAAGAGGAAAGCGAAAGGCCAGGGCAGAAAGAGGCAACACTACATGAAGAAGAGGAAGGGATAGACCTAGGACGCGACGAAGAGGAAGATATAGGTGGACATGAAGAGTCAGAACTACTAGGGCAGGGGGAAGAATCAAAACTGCTAGGGCAGGCAGAGTTCGATCTAGGGCGGGAAGAGGAAGAGCAAAGTTCCCAGGATGTTGCGGACGGAGATGATGACGATTATAGAACTGTTGACCACTACGACTATCGCTACAACCAGCAATATCAGAACTCGTCCAGTGTGGACAACATCAACAGAAGGGAACCTAAAACTAATGTCTATTTTGGGGAAGAGCAGGAGTCGTGGATCGAGAGGACTTCGGCTTCGGCTCGTAGAAAGGAAGGAGGAGGTGCTGCTTCGAGAAGCATATGGATGATGTTTTTTGTTTTTTCTCCCATATAACAGGTAGACCATAGAAAAGTCAGACCCTTTTCCCCTTGCAAGTGTAGAAGAAAAAGAGGAGCATCGTCGATGGTCTGTTAAATGGGAGAAAAAGTATCATCCATGAAGTAGGTTGGAAGGAGGTGGAGGCGGAGAATCTGCTTCTACTGTACTATCTCTATCTGTTGGCCAGTCGTCGCGGCGTGCCATAGCGGTTGACGCTAACTATTTCCAGGTTTCGCAATATAGGTTAAGGCTCAGACTTCATTGGTCCTCGTCACTCAAGAGAGAGGTCGTTTAGGATATCAAAGAGGAGAGCAGTGGAGAACAGAGGAGAATAAGCTAGAGGTGAGAGCTGTGATTGATGTACTCGAAAAGTGAAAATATGCGAGTAGCTAACTGAAATAGCAGAGTCATTACGTTGCTCTTGTTTCCGTATCTCGCTTATTTTAAGTAGTTGCTTGCTTATTTCAGTTTATCGAATAAGTACGGGATCTTCTTGTCGTCCCTTGCGAGTGGTTCAGTGACCAATGACTGCCGCCACCCTCGAAATAGAAAAGCTACTGGCCAAGCCTGTTGGGGTGGCGCCGTGATTGCACAGATTGCGAATACTTTTGGAATAAGCACAATCAGCGGGAATAGGTACAAGGCCACCCTCACCCAATGTTAAGGCGGGTTCGTTCTCCTGTGACTGAGGAAGAGCGCAGCATGTTGATCTACTAAAGTCTTTTTTAATACAGCAGTTGAAGTTGTTGTACTTACTTAATGTTAGTATTACAAAACCATCTGTGTTTTTTAGCGAGGACTGTGAAATGCTTACTCGCTTTGCTTACACCGTCTTGATCTTAATATTTTTATTTTAGTTTTAGTCCTCCTATTTCTGGTTGTTTTCTACCTGTGAAAGCAGCTACCTGGTGTTGAGACACAATGATGATGATGATGATGATTATGATGATGACTAACTCCAAATCAATGTACTAGAAATATGGGCACCAGCTTCTCGTTTTAGATGAGAAGGAAAACTGTTACAACGCCAAGGCACATTTGTTGGTTGGTACGTCCCAACCTTCTCTAAGAATGCCAACAGATGTGCGACGCGGTGAAAGTGTGTAACTGTTTCATCTATCACACATCCGGCACGTATACAAACTACTGCGAATTGTGTTCCAACGCGAGGGGACCGAAGAAGACAACTGGCCGCACCTCCTACTTCAAACAGAAGAGCACGAACCGCGGTTATAGTAGTCAGTACACGAGAAAAAAGTGCAGAACCAATCAAAACCTAGCGATGACATCTGTTGCGAACGTGGGTTGGGCAAAGTACCCTCATTTATGGCTCAATATTATTTTATTACTTTATTTCTACCATTCAAATTCATTTCTCTTTTTTTCTGTTTGGGATTCTGAAGAAATGAAGAAAAGAAATGAAACGCTCTGGGCTCTAACTTCCTGGAGTAGCTACAAGGGTGTCCTCAAAATTCCTGGAGAAACCGGTGGAAAGAACAAGTGCAGAGATGTCTGTGAATTATACGCCTACGACGGCTGCAACTGCTATACTGTCGAGTTCACCAGCACGTCTGTCCTTAAGTACTTAGATACTTATACATAGTATACGACCGCGGTTGTCTAAGTAGTTTAGATACTTATACATAGTATACGACCGCGGTTGTCTAAGTAGTTTTTCTATTTAATCACCGTCTAGCTCCTCCACACCTTATGGTAAGTATACATCTCTAATCCATCTACTCTATACTATAGGGATCACGCAGGCCTTGGCCTTCCCTCTGACGTGTAAAAAACGGATATCCCTCTTATGCGTACAATTACAAGTCGCCGGCCATGTCGTTAGGCCTTTGAAACAAGCACGCCCGGCACGTTTGTGGGCGGGCAAACCCGTATGCGGGTGGAACTGGGTGGGGCTGTGGGTAGAAAAGCCCACCCATGGGTGTGGTGGTGTGTGGGTGTGGTGGTGTGTGTGGGTGTGGTGGTGTGTGTGGGGGTGTGGTGGTGTGTGGGTGTGGTGGTGTGTGGGTGTG